CATTGCTGAATAACCAGTGCTGATGATTTGCATTACGATCGTAAGTTTTTTATTCTAATGTGCACATAACTTTCCATTATACATTGCTCTCTGTATGGGACTTTCAGGCGTTACTCCCATTATAAGCTAAGCTGTTGATATGACCTGTACCTGAGGAGGTAAAAAATTCTGTTTTTCTTATACATGTGCTAAATTATAACTATTCAGGGTGAAACTTGCCATTCAATGCATCTGCATTGGATTTTTTTTTTCCCCTAGGAAGTCTCAGCTTTAAGTGGATTTTCTTTTTTTTTTTTTTTTTTTTCTCTAAAACTGGAGCTGTTTATGGGAAGTTTTATGGCTTCAGGGAGGCAAGTTAGAATTCGGTTTGAGGAATGAATCATGCTGCTTTTGGGAATGTGTTGTCTTTGTTCTTTGTGGGTGTTCTTCTCCCATCTGACCAAGTCATGAGGTGTTTGAAAGTTGTGTTTTGCCCGTACTCACGATGTTATAAGAGCTTGACATGAGTTTTCAAAAGGTACACAAGTATACCACTCCCAGATGTTGAAGTGATTGTATATAACATTTGCCAACAAAAGAACTGCTTGGTTAAGCATCTGTTTTTTGTGGAAGCTTTCATGATGATGATGTCCGGTTCTGTCCTTGTTCCTGCTTGCTTGCTATCTGAAAGGTTGTTCCATTTCTCTTCTAGGAAGCCGAGTAATTTTCGTACTTTATTTCAAGGCAGGTTGTATATCTTCAGCTCTTCATGTATCTCAGCTCCACACTGGTCAAGATGGGTAAAGATGGGAGACGTTAATTAGGAAAATGCTGAATGTTAAATTTTGGCGCTGTTCACTTTAGCAAGTAGTGCAGTACAGGAGGAGTGTTTCTGTGGAGTGATGTGGTTGGCAATGAGGATCCAACATTGACGCTATGATAGTTTGGGGAAATACAGCTTTTGCCTAGGTCAGTCCATGGGCTAAATGTCCACTTACCTTTGGAGCAGATCATCTAGTTCAATTTAGCTTAAAAGAAATCAGGTTCGTGTGTTTGGACACCACTGTACAATGAATGCCAAAGCATCTGAAGCAGGGATGACTGGGAGGCTTGCTTCAGAATCCCTCTCCTGAGCTGAACTAAAACACTGTGTAGATGCGCACATTGTCTGGCTGCTGGAATTGGAAGTGAATGGAATAAAATTTGGGAACTCAGAGAGTTTGTTTCTCTTTCTACCCCCTATAGCAGTGGCAAGGGATTAATGTTATTTGCTTGTGGAAATGAGTACATATTTTTGATAGCTGAAGTGGTAGAAATCTGTGCTTTGGATGGAAGCAGCCGCAGGTAATCTCAAACGGATAAGCTTTGACTTTGTGGTAGAAATGCTGTGTTTTCCATTTCTTTTTAAAATGTAAGAAATTAGATACTCAAAGTATTTACCAAGTGAATATATAGCCTGTGATAGCGTATGCTTGAAAGTCAGAAGTGTCAGATGAAGGTTACATATGTGACTGAACACAGCCCTGTAGTGGTCACAAACTCTTTGATAGGAGCTCCCTCCCTTATTCAGAATACAAATCACTAGTAAACAGAGCTTTAGTGACCTGGAGAAACAATATAATGAAAATATGTCACAGTGATGATTTTCAATTTTGCTTGCATTTTGAGATACTTTGGGCCTAATTTATAGGCATGCTGGATATTCAAAATAGCAGCTGAAATTATATTTCCAATTACAGCTCCAGTTCTGTTAAAAGTACTGACTGAAAAACTGGGCACCAAGTGTCTGAAATTGGGCAACCAAAGTTAGCGGGCATTTGTTTTACCCTTTGGGCTGTCATTATTGTGCTCCAGTCACCCACCTTTAGAACAGGAACAGGAATACTGATCTCACAAAGTTATTGCAAAGTTTACATCTATTTTGTGTAGCCTTCCCATCTTAGGGACAGATCTGCATAAACATGTCTATGGGGAAATACAAGATTTTTGTATTCAGTGTAGGATACAGATGGTAAGCATTTAATGGGTCACAGGATGAGGGCAAAAACTGAGCAATTGTCCATTTGCTGAATGAAGCAGAAATCCTGCTGGGGAAAATGGAATAAAGCAGCAGAAAGAATATTATCAGAAATAGGTATGTATAAAGGCTAAACTGAAGTAGCATGGCTTTTGGATCTTAACTGCTGCATGGCTTGGGTTTGCAAATATGTATTTAAAGTTTTAGGAGGATTTGATGTGATGCAAGTCTGCAAAACTCCTGGTGCTTTGTAATCTACATTTTAGTGCACTGCAAGGCAAGTGTAAGGGCTGGACTGGTAAGGGTAGAGACGGAATGCAGGGTGGTGTGTGGACATTGTGACGATGTCTTTTATGTATCCAAGTATGCATATGTTTGTGCACGTTCTGGGAAGGGCGGTTTAAAAATACCCCCTGGTACTTTTGGAATCACTTGTGAGGAAGGCTTTCAGAACAAGATTGTGTTCTTTGAGTCATTTAGTTGTGTGTTCAAAACACCAACATTGTGAATTGACATCCCTGGAGGTTTTGCTCATGGGGTTGGTCTAAAGGTATGATAACCTGCATTTTATTGCTGTTCTCAAAATATTCTTATTGGGGAAGGTGTTTTGTGTTTGGGTTCTTTTGGGGTTTTTTGTTTTTTTTGGGGTTTTCTTTGTGGGTTTTTTTAGTGGGTTTTTGTGGTGGTGGTGGTTGTGTTTTTTTTTTCCAGATACGGATTTGGTCATTTGGGTAAATAGCTAAAGGAAGAACAAGTACCCTGGAAAGGAGTCAGCAGGAAGGGAGTGAAGAGAGGTCACCTTTCTTAGATTCTCTTTGCATGTTTTTATGAGGCTTTTCCACATTCCTAAACCTGGAGGCTCACCCTGAATTGTGAAATTCAAGGTATACTGTTTCGCTGTCTGCTCCTGTAGAGATGATGATACAGGTCAGAGATGCCAAGCACTTGCACCCTTTGCCATGGTAGTAGTAGGAGCCAGGTGATGACTGTTCTTCTTCCCTGGATCTTGCTAGCTTGATTTGAGAGATAATCTGAGAGAGGGGCATCATGAGATACCACTTGGCAAATCATCTGTAGTGCAGCCGCAGCAGTGATGACTGGACATTAAGTAAAACGAGCAATGCTTACTTGTCCACTGTGCTATCGCTTATAGACAAGTATTTATGCCTATTTCTTCCCTCTGTCTCCTCACCTCAGCTTCACTGCATATTTGTCCCAGTTTTCTCCTCTGTCTCCCTCTCCCTCCTAGTCTGTGTAGGGTGCGAGTTCTTTGGGTCAGAAGCATGCTCTGTGGAGCATAATAAATTCATAGCATAATTTCTGTAGTAAATATAAAAACCAAATGTGGATACTGAATTCATAGTTAATTGCTTTGGCTTTTTTTAAATTTATTTCTTGCCCTCTTTTTTAAAAATATTATCAGTTTGTTTCCCTTTCAGTGGCTCATTAAACTTGACAGTTTTGCATGAAACTTTTCCACTAAATCCACAGACTCATTGTGAGTTATAAACCTCGCTCCGTTTCATTTGCATCATTGCTTATAAAGGGGAGAGAAAACAGGTCAAGTTATGCCCTGAAAGAATATCTCCTTCTTCATTTAGGATTTTTCAAATACTGTTAAAAGCATGATGTAGATGCGGGAGTAAGAGAATGGATGGCAAAGTGTACATGATAGTTTAGTTTAGGGAACTGCTCC